ACATGCTGGGCATGAACTATTTCAACTGCCCCCTTCAGGATGCTGCTATAGAGCATTGCATGCCAAAACAACCAGGCACAGAGGCAGGTTTTTCCCCATGCTATCACTCTGCTGAACACCTGATTCCCACAGGCCTAAAGATATCTAACCATTGGACTGTATTGCTATTACCCTTTGCATCTTTCCTATTAGCTGCTCCTATTGGTATCTTTTGACTATCACTTTGTTGGTTATGTGTATCTTGTGGTTTATGAATGTATTTCATGATTAACGATCCATCACTTTGTAGCTTGTATGTATACTGAGAACATACTGAGAGCACCTCAGACAAATCTCTTATGTGTCCAATCACACTTGGCCAATAAAAAAATCTTCCCTTTTCTTCTCTCCTCCCCTCTCCTTCCCCTCCTTCGCCTCTATTGTAGTCCACTCCATTCTTTCTTTTCACAGCCCCCAGAAGTTTAAGGAGAGCATGTTATTAAAGCTTTAAAAAAATCACCCAGATTAATCTTTTGTGTTTATGAGTGGTGTGAGTTCTCCAGTTTTAATTTAGAGTAACTGTGTATGCCAGCTATCAGAGCTTTGGGGAATAGAATCCATAAAAATAGATGATCGGTGATTCGTATTTTTAGCTCTTCCTTACAACCCACTAAAAAAAACCTTTTGCATTCCATAAACTTGTCAGCATTTTCAAATCCGACCCCTAAGATGGTTCTTTTTGGCTTCATTGCCTACTCAAAACACAAAAAACCCACGTTAGATATAATTTTTTTGAGAGGGTAATGTCTCCCCCTCACCTTTTGGGCAGAAATGTCATGATGGAGAGGAGGAAGTAAGCAGCGGTGATACAGGAGGAGTGTTTCCTGCCATAAAATGCAGTGGCAAGTAAGAAATTCTTATCACCAGCATTTCTCACAATTCCAGGACAAACCCAGAGCAGATGTCGTTCATGCCCTCTCAAGCTGTTTGTGCAGTGGAGCTTCCGACATTTATTTCAGCCTTCCTTGCAGCGGCAGGAGGTAAAATCCTATTTTTGAAGCACAGCATTGAAATAGTCTCAGTCAAGTCAGCTTTGACTCCTGGTGACTACATAAGAATCATAGGGCTGGAATATAAAAGTAGAGAAGGGAGTGTGCGCATGCGTCCATGTGTATGTGTGCACGTGTGTGTACACGTGCGTGCATATGTGTGTGTGCGCGCACACACACACACAGTTACAGTCCTGGAGACTGCTGCATGATATGTATAATGGCCACTGTACCTGTCAATCTTCTTCAGTTCCATACATGGGAATGTATTGCAAAACATACGATGAACGCTTGCAAGAACTGGGCCTGGCTAGTCCAAGGAAGAGAAGGACCAGGGGAGACACGATAGCAGTGTTCCAGTATTTGAGGGGCTGCCCCAGAGAGGAGGAGGGGGTCAAGCTATTCTCCAAAGCACCCAAAGGCCAGACAAGGAATAATGGATGGAAACTGAACAAGAAGAGATTTAGCTCAGAAATAAGGAGGAAATTTCTGACAGTGAGATCAATCAACCAATGGAACAGAAGTTGCTTTCAGAAGTTGTGAGTTTCATCCCTGGAGGCTTTCATGAGACTGGACTGCCATCTGTCAGAAATGGTGTAAGGTCTCCTGCTTGGGCGGAGGGTTGGACTAGATGACCTACAAGGTCCCTTCCAACTCTGTTAATCTGTTAATGTCTTGTCTACAAAGTGAACTTGATTGGAGAAAATGCCTCTGGATCTTGTATCAGCTTGCAATTTTTTTTTTTTTAAAGAAAAGGCACCTGGCAGTCCAAGCTTTTTTGTAAAATTCAAAAGAAGACAATGATAAATTAGGACCGGAGAGACCTCAGGGGCATTAAAGTACAGAGGGCATAACAAGAAGTCATAGGTGGAAGGTAATTAAAGAGAGATCCAATCTTGAAGTCAGGAGAAAGTTTGTTGACTGTGAGGAGAACAATTAGTCAGTGGAAGAGTTTTCCTTCAAAAGTTACGGCTGCTCCAACATTTTTAAGAAGAGATTGAACAGCCATTTGCTCTAGAAGTTGAAGATCTCGGAGGTCTCTTCCAGCCCTATTCTATGTTCTAGAAGAGTAGATGGGGAAACCTCTCCTCTATTAGCCTTTTTGAAATGGGGATTTGTCACATCACAAGAATAAACCCTTGGCACCATCGTATTTCTCACTTCCATCCACAAGTGACTCATAACACAAACTTCAGTCAGTTCTTGGTCTTCCTTGAGTCTAAATCAGGGGTCTCTCCAACCTTGGCCACTTTAGGACTTGTGGACTTCCACTCCCAGAGTCTTCAAGTGGTCAAGTTTGGAGACCCCTGGTTTGGATGGTCTGGTTTCTGAAAGGATCATCTACTTAATAACCGCAGGGGTTTTGCTTAGCAACTGTGGCAAGAAAGGCCGTAAAATAGGGTGAAACTCACTTAACAATGTCTCAGCGACAGAAATGTTGGGCTCAATTGTAGTTGTAAGTTGAGGACTATCTTTAATTGAACGCGGTTTAGTGGGCCAAATTGTCTGGGCTCAGGAGAGCGGCAGGTAAGAAATCTGATGAAGCCAAGAGGAGCATTCTAGATCCTGCCCGTTGCATTTTTTCCGGCAACGGTTCGTTCGCCAGGTTCGTTGCTGCTTAGACTTAGAAGCAGGATATGATCCTGTCAGAAACCAGACCATCCAAACCAGAGGTCTCCAATCTCGGCCACCTTAAGACGTATAGACTTCAACTCCCAGAATTCCTCATCCAGTTTTGCTGGTTGTCAAGTCTTAAAAGTGGCCAAGGTTGGAGACGCCTGGTCTGCTGGCCGAGGAACTCTGGGAGTTGAAGTCCACACCTCTTAAAGTGGCCAAGGTTGGAGACCCCTGGCCTAAACGCTGTAGCCTACAAGAGGCCACCCTGTTTTGAGGGACAACTTCCAGCTTCTGCATGTTGTCATTTCCACTGTGGTCCAGCAGCAGAACTTTTCCCCCGTAATTCAGAAGGAAGCTATGGAAATCTCGGCGTAACAAGCCATGCCTTCCAGATGTCTTGTCCATCATGGTTTTATGTTCTGGGAGATGTTAATCCAAGGTTTGATCTAAGGATTATTAAGAACATCTGCAATATGCTCTGAAAGGTTTATTACTGAAGCTGATCAGCCAGGCAAGCTCCCATTCCCATTAGAATTGCATAAATGCAAATGAAATCTGCCTTTCACGCCAACTTGATCTGCATTTATGCAGATGAAAGGAAGACAAATCCATCGTTTCTACTCTAGAACAAAGAGAGCTAAACATTCGGAGGCCGTGGCCAACTTCTATTCCTTCCTAGTTGGCTCAGGTATACCTCAGAAAAATCCACATCCCTGGGAGATTTGGATAATACAGATTGTCCTCAATTTACAACAGTTCATTTAGTGACCATTCAAAGTTACGACAACACTGGAGGAAAAAAGGGTGCTTTCTCCACTTCTCTTCTCCCTTTATACCAATGACTGCATCTCAAACGATCCATCTGTTAAAATACTGAAGTTTGCTGATGACACAACAGTGATTGGTCTCATTCGAGACAAAGACAAATCTGCATACAGACAGGAGGTTGTACAACTTGCCTCGTGGTGTAACTGGAACAATCTGGAACCAAACACACTCAAAACCGTAGAAATGGTGGTAGACGTTAGAAGAAATCCTCCCATACTACCACCTCTTACAATACTAGACAACACAGTATCAACTGTAGAGACCTTCAAATTTCTAGATTCTATTATATCACATGACCTGAAATGGACACCTAACATCAAAAATGTCATCAAAAAAGCACAACAAAGAATGTTCTTTCTGCGCCAACTCAGGAAGCTCAAACTGCCCAAAAGGAGCTGCTGATCCAGTTCTACAGAAGAATGATTCAGTCTGTCATCTGCACCTCTATAACTGTCTGGTTTGGTTCTGCAGCCCAACAGGACAGACACAGACTTCAGAGGATAATTAGGACTGCAGAAAAAACAATGGCTACCCACCTGCCTTCAGTTGAGGACCTGTCTACTGCACGAGTCAAAAAGAGGGCTGTGAAAATATCTACAGACCCCTCACATCCCGGACATAAACAGTTTCAACTCCTTCCCTCAAAAAGACGCTATAGAGCCCTGCACACCAGAACTAGACACAAGGACAGTTTTTCTCCAAACGCCATCACTCTACTAAACAAATAATTCCCAATAGTGTCAAACTATTTAGTAAGGCTGTATTCTTCTCATCTGTCCTAGTACCTATCTCCTTCTACTTATGAGTGTAACCATATTGCTGGTATCTTTACAATTTATTTATCTTTACAGTTTTAGTTGTTCCCAAGTAGGATTTATTAGTAACCTATGACTATTAGTAACCTATGACTATCACTAAGTGTTGTATCTTATGATTCTTGATGAACGTATTTTGTCTTTATGTACAGAGAGCTTATGCACTAAAGACAAATTCCTTGTGTGTCCAATCACACTTGGCCAATGAAGAATTCTATTCTATTCTAAAAAAGAGAGACATGACCATTTTTCACTCTGATCTTTAAGCAACTGACTCATATTCGTGACATTTGCAGTGTCTTGGGATCACGGGGCCACCTTTTGAGATCTTAGCAAATGTTTCACTTAGCCACAAAGGTTTAGGGCTCAATTGTGGTCATAAGTCAAGAATTATCTGTAAATTGGAAGGAAGTGATGCAATTCAAATTTAAATTACGCTGCACAACAACGTACCTCATTTGGCCTTTGGCTCCAAGTAGGCCGAATACCCTCCTTTGGAAACCACGGCTCATATATGGCTCCTGTGACATGCGAACTCAACATTCTAGTTTGTTCAGCAAACCACATCCTAACACAATGCCTGGAACTGGCTGTTACTTTGAGTGCTGGAAAAAGGCAGGTTAAAAAAATGTACCGAGATGTCTTTATGTGGCATTTCAACGACATTTTAAAACAACAACACAACACACACACACACACGTGGCTGAGACAATTTCACCATACGCGACCTTTATTGGTGATATCAGGGCATCATTTATGATACAGAAGTCACATCATCCCATTCTCTTCCAATTCAATCCCCTTATAAATCTGTAGCAAAAGTGCACTTTAATCTAGAACATATATATATTTTTTCCAATACTCTCTCCCTTGTTCAAGTCAGGTATTATTCGTAAAAACATTATCACCAAATATACAAAATGCAAGTTGGCCTTTTCCTATGCTGAGCAGTGTTCCCTGCCTTCCAATGGGTTGGGGTGGGGTCTTTGCCTATGGAGCAACCAGCTTCACCTACCGAAGTGGTGGGGTGGGTCTACAGGGTGAAGTGGATTAAGGATCTTTTGTGGTTTTATAACCGAAAATTCATACTGAACGCACAAACCGCCTACTAGTTGTCAACAGCTCTTTGTATTAGAGATGACCCACCTCTGAACAAAATGGGACTCTGGCATGTGGGACTGAACATAACCGCACCAGTGGCCTGCCTGAAGTAGTGAGACTGTGGAAATCGGAATTATTCATTACGTGACATTATGTGCCGTGAAGGGAAGGTCCCTGCTAACCAAAAGAAAGCAAGCAGCCGCTGCTAAGACAATCTTAGACTCTCCCTGGAGGTCCCAGCTATTCCATTTTGGGAACCTCGCTGAGGATCTGCTCTTGGAGAGAGCGCCAACTTCTTCCAGGCCTCATGGAAACCCGTAGAGCCGCTGATGCTCTGAAGGGGGCTAAGGCGAGTCTCCTTCTCGGACATGGCCTGTGGCAGGGGTCTCCAACCTTGGCCCCTTTAAGCCCAGAGGACTTCAACTCCCAGCCAGCTTTGCCTCTGGCCTTAAAGTGGCCGGGGCTGGAGACTCCTGGTCTATGGAGTTTGGGTGCTGCTGCAGAGATGCAAGGGAAAGCTTTCCAATTCAACCAACAGATATGGAGCTGAGGAAGCAAGGAAAATGTCGCGCTTTTTTGTTGCCGGCACAAGCCAGGCAAACCTTTGGAAGCAGCCGTTGGCCTGGCCTTCCAATCCCAGATTCGAGTTCAACCGTTGCTGTTTTTTGAGTTGATCCTCTTTCTTGGCAATTCCCGGCAGCAGGTGATTGTGGGAAGCTTCGGGGGACGAGAAGAGATAATTTTAGAGTTCTCTCAAACAGGAAGTCCATTCTTATTACCATTCGTGTGGACCAACAAAGCAAGCGGTGCATTCGTCAAGGCACGCCAAGGGCGGCTGGGATCAGCTGCCCTTCATTGGGGGGCGCTTGGCACCACCAGGCCTTCTGGGAGGCTGCTGGGAAGAGGGAGAAGCACCAGTGGTTCCCACAGCCCTAACTGGCTTTCAGGTCACAGCCCAATCTAAGGTTCTTAGGAGCCTAAATAATTCCGGCAGATCCTTCTCCACTGCGTATTTTTCCCCTTTTAAAAAGGCTCCGAGTTATAACGCGTATCATTGGAAAATAGACGCTAAGTTGATTTAGTCTTTATAATACTGCCTTTTCTCTCTCTCTCTTTCTCTGTTGAAGCAGCAACAGCAGCAGCAGCATAAATGTGCACTGCAAAACGAGAGGTGGAGATCTCGCAGGAGGTGATGGAAGTTAAGAGGAATTCTTTTCAAGGCATAGACAGACTTTCCTTTAAGTCCTTAACCCACCCCTGAATTGTTTTCAAGGCCAAAATCGTAATTATTATTTGAAGCTTAAACGTTTAGAGCAGTGGTGTCCATTTACATACGGCATGGCGATCCATGCTGAGAATTGCTTCTTACCTGCAAAACTGAACCCTTAACAGATCCTGGGTTTCAGCAGAGGGCACTTGTGGCTTAGAGAAGAGCTCCGAGAAACTGTTCTTTTAGTTTTTACGCTAGATGTGACCTCCAACACTTACGTCTATTTCTTTTCTGACTTCTACAGTATTGCGGTTCTGAGTCAAAATCTCTCTCTCTCTTTTTTTTTTTTTACAAAGGATTAACAGATTTATAAAGCATATAAAAATTACTTTCCAAGGAAAATTTTAAGAAAGAGACAAAGTGGAACAAATGTAGAATAAATAGTGTTATCGGAAGTAAAAGTGACATCTTTAACAAAATCATCAATCCTGTAGAAATGCTTAATGTCCTTTTTCCCATAGGAAAAAAAAGAGTAAAAATTAAAGCGCGATGCTTCCAGGATGATTTAAGCTGGCCGCAGTCTTGAATGACCGACCGAAGCTGCAACTTTCATCAACTTTCTTCTGCTTGAGTCCCAAAAGAGGACAGGGATTCAGCAAATACCGGAGGGGAAATCGTTCTGTTAGCATACAGAAAAAATGGCAATAACGGAAACCAAAGAAGAGTCTTAAGCCACGACTGAACAGTGAACGGATTTTACAATGTTACTTTAAAAATCACTTTCTTGGTTCTTGAAGAGTTAAGCAGCCAGGTTTCAAGTAGAGGTAAAAGATTTTGGAAGTTAGCAAGTATAAAATAGCCTAGAAAGAAAATCAAAGCAAAATGCATCCTTGCTCAGAATTGTTCTCTTCAAGGAAATGCACCCCTTGATTGCCCAGGATAACCGGGAGGAATCGTTTCGGCCATCACTCTGTGGTCCTTTCTGGGCACAGCCTTGATCCCTTCTTTTGTGCGCAAGGTGTCCCCCAAATGGTGGGAGTCTCAGTCTCTGGATTGGTAGAAAAGGATATACCCAGATTCTGAGTTTTTGGAAATGTCTGAGGTCAATCCATAGAATTCTTCAATTGCTTGAGCGTCGATTTTCTACAATTTAAGACAATGGAGAGAGAGAATCAGAATCAATGACAATTTCCTCCGGTCCAGCCTTTTCACGCCCTGATTTTAAGCACGCAAAGGAGCACATTCGTAGCTCGGGGTTGAAAGGAGCGGTTTCCTGGCGCTCTCTTGAGTTTGGTTGTTTTCTGGCAAGACATTTCATTACCCAAACTAGGTAACATCGTCAGAACTGGCACTAATATTCTATATACTTAAGAATATGTCCAAGTGAGTGAACACTACTACCGATATACTGCAATGAATGGAAACATGGTTTGTAAAATAGTTTTTCAACTGTAGAATTTGTTTAATAAAGTTTTTTTTTTAATTAAAAAAAAAAAGAATTAGCACTGATGAAGTTACCTAGTTTGGATAATGAAATATCTGCAAAAAAAAAACCCAACCAAACTCAAAGAGCACCAAAGGACCTCTCATGTAAGCAATTTTCGTTCCAGTTTTTATCTATGGATTAGGGGTGATACGACACCAATCTCCCAATATTTGAGGGGCTCCCACAAAGAAGAGGGGAGTGAATTTATTTTCCAAAGCACCAGAGGCCAGGACAAGAAGCAAAGGATGGAAACTAATCAAGGAGAGAAGCAACCTGGAACGAAGGAGAAATTTCTTGACAGTGAGGACAATTAACCAGTGAAGAACCAATTGCCTTCAGAAGTTGTAGTTGCTCCATCACCGGATGCTTTGAAGGAGAGACTGGACAGCTTCTTGTTTGGAATGGTATGGGGCTTCCTGTTTGAGCAGGGGTTGGACTAGAAGACCTCCAAGGTCCCTTCCAACTCTTGTTATTTTGTTCTATATTTTATTAAAATTCAGCTGACAATCAAATCATTGGCCCTGGCTCCCTTCCCCTGAGAAGGTCAGCAGAAGGAAGGGGACGGTTAACGACTGTTTCAGCGCACGCAGCCTCTTCCCAACCGGAAAGGCAGGAGTGGGGAGTGAGCGCTGATTCCCCACTGTCAGCTCTGGACAAATAGATGGACGTTAAGAAGCAAAAGACAAAGGCTCCTGCCTTTTAAATATAGTGCATTTAACCTACATTAAATATAAAACAAATCAATGAGTTAAAACAACCCACTTGCTCTTTGCTGCTATTAACGAGTCTGCTGCAAATGTAGCCGCCCGTCCTTCTGTCCAAGGGACGGGATGCATTTACCTGGCTCCACACAAAATGAGGCGGAGGGACACGGGGTCAGGATTCCGGCACTTGACCCCCATTTAAATCCCGAGTCTTGAGCCAAACGTCCCAAATGTCAAAAGGATTTCTTGGGAGTGAACATGTCCGGCACTGCCTGGGTGTAGCTGACTCTGAGGCGCATAATTCCTGAGCCTTGGAGGTGCAGTGGTTAGAGTGCACTCCTGCAAGCTACTCCTACTGCAATTTGGCGGATCGAATCCCACCAGGCTCCAGGTTGACTCAACCTTCCCTCCTTCCGAGGTGGGTAAAATGAGTACCCAGATTGTTGTGGGGCAAGAGGCTGACTCTGTAAACTGCTTAGAGAGGGCAGTAAAAGCACTGTCCATTGGTATATAAGTAAGTCTAAGTGCTATTGCTACTGCTATTCATTGTCACCCTTGACCAACCCCGGTTTTCTCTCACCCCTTGGGTATACCGTAATTCATATCCTCAAATGGGACACCTCCATAGCCCAGAGTCACCAATCAGGCTCTCTGGTTAGAATTTTGCACAGCAGAAACTTCGGTCACCTAGTGACTATCTTTGAAAACATTTATGGAATGCAGTTTTGGTTTCCAAGCTGCTGTACTGCTCCCCCCTCCCTTTCTGTTGGCAACTCTAAAAAGACCAGAGAAATATTTTATGAGTTGACACGAGGAGCTAATGTGGCCTGTGCAGGTAATCCTTGACTTATGACCACAATTGAGCCCAACGTTTCTGCTGCTAAGCGAGACACTTAATAAGCGAATGTTGCCCCGCTTTGTGAGCTTTCTTGCCCTAGTTGTAAAGTGAATCACTTGCAGTTGTTAAATTAGGAACAAGGCGATGCAGTGAATCTCTGCCTTCCCCCTAGTGACTTTGCTCTCTGGAAGGTCGCAAATGGGGATCACGTGACCGCCATAAATATGAACCATTGGCCAAGCCTCTGGATTTTGATTACCTGCCCCCAGGGGAGGCTGCAACGGCCGTAAGGGTGAAAAATGGCCATAAGTCCCTTCTTTTCAGTGACAACTGTAATTTTGAATGGTCACTAAATGAATCGAAGTCAAGGACTACTACGTAAGGCTACAGGCTTAGGGTTTTAATTCACATTCAACATTTTTCATCAGTCTAGAGCAGAGGAGGTTCCCAAACTTGGCCACTTCCAGACTTGTAGGCAGCTGTGCTGGCTGGAGAATTCTGGGCGTTGAAGTCCACAAGTCCGAAAGTGGCCAAGTTTGGAGACGCCTGGCCTAGCGAGCAAGTTTTGCTAATCCCCATAGGGATTGGTGTTGACGTCTTGGGGGGGGGGGGCACCTGATGGCCATTTGTGACCTTCCCCAGCCAGCAAAGCAAAATCAATGGGGGAAGCCTGATTCACTTAACAACTGTGTGATTCACTTAACAAACTGTGGTGATTTGCTTAACAATCGCAGCAACAACAAAAAAAAGTTGCAAAATCAGGCATGACTCAATTAACAACAATTTTGCTTAGTGACGGAAATTCTGGTTCCAGATGTCAACTCATAAAATATTTCTATGGTCTTTTTAGAGTTGCCAACAGTGGGGAGCAGTGCGGCAGTTTGAAAATCAAAAGTGCATTCCATAAATAATTTTTCCAAGATAATAAACCAGGTGACCAAAATTTCTGCCACACAAAGTTCTAACTGGAGAGTCTGATTGATGACTCTTGGCTATGGATGTGTCCCATTGGAGAATATGAGTTACGATACACCCAGGCGGCGCCAGCATGTCAACTCCCAATAAACCCCTTTTTAAGTTTTGGAAGTTTGGCTCAAGACTCATGATTTAATTGGGGCTAAGTGCCGGAATCTTGACAGCCGTTGTTGTTAAGTCAAAAAATGTCAGTTACTGTTATAGAAGGGTAGTCGCAGGATTTGGTTCAAAAAAAATCTAGATGACATCACAGCCGTCATCTAGATGTTTTTGAACCAAACCCTTTGAATATCGGTCAGATTTTTATGTACATTGCATATAAAAATTGGGAAATCTGCAGGGGCCCTGACTGAATGGTGAAAGAAAATAGGATTTATACTCTTGCAGTCATCTGGTCGTTAGCATTTTGTCTGAGAGCCGTTGAGGCCACTTGGGGGTGTATCTCTGCCCGTTGGGTCACCTGAATCAGTATTGGTCTAGCAAAGGTTTTGAATGCCCTAGTTTGCAAATCAGTATTACCAGAGGGGAAGCTTCGTAAAATTAGATTAACAATTCTTAAAGCCTTTTGGGCAATATTTGCAGTGAGCTTTGGCGCTTCGGTCATTCAATATGAGAAAGAGCGAAATCTGCTCTCAAAGTTACTTGCTTTTATCCAACAGAAACACTGAATCGCTAAGACGTTTTTCCTCCAGACCTGAGAAAACTCTTCACACTCAGCCCTGAAAAAGCAAACTGGCCCTTGTTTTCCTTCCCCAACTCATTCGTCCTAGCCATTAAAGAGAAATTAATCGGGCTGCAAAATGAACTCGCTGTCTACGCGTGAGTTTCGAGGTGGGAGCCAATCTAATATAGCTGCTTCCAATAGAGAAATGTTTAAAATTTATAGGGTAAAGCTGTAAGGTCCCACCGGGTGGGCAGAGCAACCAGCAACGTGGTGATTTATCTAACTCGTTTTATTTAGCTACCCATTTTTAAAAGCAAGAATGCTGCAAACTGTATTGTAAAAAAAGGTATGTCTTCACCACAAGATGATTCAAGGGCTTGGAGGCAAAAACTTATGAGGAACAGCTGCAGGAACGGAGTATGGCCAGTCTAGAGAAAAGAAGAACTTGGGGGGTGGATGGGTGGACATGAGAGCTGTATTCCAGTATTTGAGGGGCTGCCATTAACAAGAGGAGGTCAATCTATTCTCCAAAGCCCCAGAAGGCAGACAGAAGAGACGACAGATGGAAAATAATCAAGGAGAGAGAGGCAACCTGGAATTAAGGAGGAATTTCCTAACAGGACAATCAACCAGTGGACAGAAGTTGTGGGGGCTTCATCGCTGGAGGTGTTTTAAGAAGAGACTGGGCAGCCACTCGTCTGAAACGGTCTAGGGTCTCCTGCTTGAGCAGGGGGTTGGACTAGAAGACCTCCAAGGTCCCTTCCGGCTCTATTCGAATTAACATCAAACTCTGCAGAAATCTCCTTTTGTCTCATCCAAGACAGGAACTCTTGAATTGATTGGTTCAAAGAGGAAACGTCGCACACCTCTGCTCCCACGCGTGGAAAACATTTATCCCATCTATTGCCATCTATCGGATGACGGGATGTGTGGTAAACACAAAAAGACCGCCTGCAGGTAGAAACTGCGCAGAATGTTTGTCGCTCGGGCTGTAGGATTTCGGCAGCGGTTCGTCCTCCAAGCTTGTTGTTTAGCTCCCAGATGTTGCACTGCCAGACTAGGTCACATCTGCAGCAGGACTGCAGTTGGAGTGTTGGGTTCAGTTTTTCTTCCACTTCTATAGGTCCTGTGTGGTGTTGTGGTCAGTTGGTCACGTGGCTGGTGGTTTGTGTGGCGCAAAGTTCAACTGGTGAGGAGGTGGTTGATTCCGTCGCGGATTGGTCGTTTGGACCAAGGGTCTCCAACCTTGGCCAGTTTAAGACTGGTGGACTTCAACTTCAACAAAACTGGCTGAGGAACTCTGGGAGTTGAAGTCCACCAGTCTTTAAGTGGCCGAGATTGGAGACCCCTCCTTTGGATGGTCTGGTTTCTGACAGGATCATCTCCTGGTTCTAAGTCTAAGCAGCCAGCCTGGCGAACGAACCGTTGCCGAAAAGAAATGCAATGGGCAGGATCTAGAATGCTCCTCTTGGCTTCATCAGATTTCTTGAGCCCAACGTTTCTGTCATTAAGCGAGACAGTTGTTAAGTGAGTTCCGCCCCATTTTATGGCCTTTCTTGCCACAGTTGCTAAGCAAAACCCCTGAGGTTATTAAGCTAGTAACAGGGTTGCTAAGTTTCTCCAATGACTTCGGTTGCCAGAAGGTCGCAAAAAGTATCCCACGACTTTGGGACACGGGGACCGTCATAAATGTGAGTCAGTGGCCAAGCATCCGAATTTGGGCCACGTGACCGTGATGCTGCAATGGTCATAGGTGTGAAAAACGGTTGCAAGTCCCTTTTTTTAGAGTTTTGCCGTGGTAACTTTGAACCGTCACTAAATAAACTGTTGTAAGTCGAGGACTACCTCTAATAACCTTGTTAGCACTCTGGTGGGCTACACTGGTCATCACTTGGCTGAATACGGCTGCTCCATTATTAAATAGGGTGCAATGTGTGAGGCCTTTACACAAGAGTTCCACAACTTGGGGATTCTGGGAGTTGAAATTCATACATCTTAAAGCTTCTGTCAATCTCCTGTTGGAATCTGATTCTGAGGGGGAGGTTGAGCAGCTGACAGGGAGTGGGAGTGTGGCTCCGGTGGCTGTGGAAGAAACGGGGGAAGGGCATAGGCCGGCTGGGCATTCAGAGGAAAACCCAGGGCCCACCCCCTCTTCATCCTAGGGCATGCAGGGAGGAACGGAGAAGGGAGCAACATGAGTTACGTGGATTAAGGGGGAGGAAAGGGTCCTGATTCCCTCCATGGGCTGCATCTGGAAAAACAGGATTTAAAAGGGGTGTTTGCGCACAGCTCCTTGCTGGAAGCAAAACATGCATTATCTTTGTTTGTCGAGTCTTATCTGGGTTCTGGTGTCCTCCCAACTGTGTGTGTTTCGTTGTCTTTTGGAAGTCTGCAATTCCTTATCCTGCCCTGTCTTGTTAATTGCTGCAGTTGTGGTTTGTGTTGGTTTTTATTTATAATTTATATGTACTTTGGGGTCAGACTGAATTTCTTCCCTTTAAAAACTTTCTTGGGAGAGTTTTTTTTCTCCAGCCAATGATAACTGGACATTGGGGGGCCAAGTTGGAGGTATTAAAGGGACTTTATCTACTTTTGTGACTGTGCTGCTTTTGTGCCACGCCCCTTTGGGTCATCACAGCTTTTGGGGCTGAGCAACACGGCTTTACCCCACCCTCCATCACTGATCTACTCCCTTATTCACGTCTTCAGAATCTCTGAAACTGCCGCCAGCTTGTATGATCCTACATAGTCCGGAACCCTTTTCCTAAAGGTTCCCCTCGCACACATGTGCCAGTCATTTCCGGCTCTAGGGGGGGCTGCTGATCTCCGTTTCAAAACCAAAGAAGAGCCAGCGCTGTCCAAAGACGTCTCCGTGGTCATGGCGCTGGCAGGACTGAATGCCGAAGGCGCAGGGAACACTGTTCCCTTCCCACCAAAGGGGTCCCTATTTTTCTACTTGCATTTTTTATGTGCTTTCGAACTGCTAGGTTGGCAGAAGCTGGGACAAGGAACGGGAGCTCACTCCGTTCTGCGGTGCTAGGGATTCGAACCGCCAAACTGCCGACCTTTCTGATCGACAAGCTCAGCGTCTTAGCCACTGAACTACCGCATCCCCTTTATACATACACATATATAAAAACATATTCAAGTCTTGGATTTCTACCAGATCTTCAAAACCAGAAAATAACTGCTGATTAGGGCCCTCTATTCTCATTCCTCTAAATAAATATGCCCTTTTCCTAATTCCAACTGATTTTTGAGATTTTCGGGGGGACACCTTGTCCTCCTTGTCTACGAAACCATCTTATTGGGACACTCTTGTCCCGAGCATTTTACAGCTCCTCCTCCAAATCTCAGTAGGGAGAACAGACATCTCAAGTTTTCTGCTGTACAGGACTGTTGTTGCGTTGTGTCTCTTTGATGCCATTTGAAGGCTTGTTAGTATTGATTTATTGGGGTTGGAGCTGTTATTTGCATGATTGATTAGGAAGAGTTCGTATTTAAATTTAGGTACAAAAGCAGACGCTGAAAATAGCCTGGACCCAAAGTTATACAAAGCACTGGAACAAGAGCCCAACCTACCTCTACGATGTCGTCATCGAAGAGCAACCAAAAGCCGTGGCTCTTCACAATGGTGATATAATGTCCACGATTTGGACCACTGCAACAAAGCAGAGAGGCTAGGTTAATGCTGGATATGGGCATGCAGACTCCAACTATGGTTGTGATGACCCAGGGCGTGACACAAAAATAACCAAGTCACCAAAGTAGATAATGCTTTTAATGTCTCCAACTTGGCCCCAATGTCCAATTATCCTCAGCTGGATACCAAATTCTTCCAAAAACAGTCTACCAAGGAAAGACAAGCAGTCCGAATCCAAAGTAAAGATAGAAAGAAACAAAAAACCCAACACAAACCACATTGAAGTAATTAACATGACAGGCCAGGATGATAAACTGCAGAATTTCAAAGGGTAACGCAGCACCCACAGTTGGGAGGATGCCCAAACCCAGATAAGGCTCAACCAAGATAACATACGCTTTGCTTCCAGCAAGGAGCCGTGTGCAAACGCCCCTCTTACATCCTGTTCTTCCAGCTGCAACTAGTGAAAGGGATCAGGGCCCTTTTCTCTCCCATAAGCCACGTTGCTCCCTTATCTGTTCCTCCCTGCATGCCCTAGGATGAAGAGGGGATGGCCCTGGGTCTTCCTCTGAATGCCCAGCCGGACTGTGCCCTTCCCCTGTTTCCTCCACAGCCACGGGAGCCACACTCCCACTCTCTGGTCAGCTGCTCAACCTTCCCCTCAGAATCAGACTCCAACAAGGGCACGACAGTGGTTCCCCTATGACTTGTATCTCCAGAAGCCGCTTTGACATGAGAAGAAGTAACCCCGGAGGACTTCTGATCCCACAATCCCAAGATGGTGTTCATCCCTGGATGGTGAAGCAACGAAAAGAGTACAGGTAATCCTCAACTTATGACCACAATTGAGCCCGAAATGTATGTTGCTAAGGGAGACATTTGTTAAGTGAGTTTTGCCCCCATTTCTAAGCCACAGTCCCTGAAATTAAGTTAGTGACACAGTTGTGAAGTGAATCTGGATTCCCCATTGACTTTATTTACCGGAAAGTCGCAAAAGGGGTGTTAACTTGCGAAGCATCCCTGACCTGCTCTCGAGTTGCCATAGGCAAGGGGGATGGGAAAGCGAATTGTGCGGCTGCACCCAGGAGCTGGCATCTCAGTCAATGCAAAGCACATTCCAACTGAGACATCAAGGTCGTCTCCATGGAAACCCACAGTGGCCTTTACAACCCACGAAATTGCTTCGTTGGGGAATGTGACTGAGGACACATCTTGGGAGAGGGAAACAGAGTCAGAGGCAAAGCGCAAATTAACTGAGGTCAGAGTTGGCTCCACCTGGTCAGTGCTGGCATGAAGCTCCTAATAAATAAGTGGATTTTTTTTTTTGAAACTTGGCTTGAGGCTCATGATTTAATTAGCTCTGCTGGCTGGTGAATTCTGGGAGTTGAAGTCCACAAGTCTTAAAGTTGCCAAGTTTGGAGACCTCTGTGCTAGACTATCAGGTGCAAATCCACGACTGATAGAACAGCACCAATTATGGTTCGGTGAGCAAATCGTGGTTACTCAAATCAGGCAGGGTGTGATGTGGGGGTTCCACCTAGGGATGGGGCCCTCGAGGGGGAAAGGATGACTCTACACTACACACCTCTTCTCCCAAAACTAATTAGGGAGGTTTATAACTTGCCACCGAGAACAAAGCCAAAATGAATGGATTCAATCAACATTTGGAAAATATGCAGCTTAACCACCCGGGGCTACCGTTATAAAAAAAACCCTTAAATCATTTAGCTAAACTGCTCTAATAGCTTCTTTGTTCTAATAATAGCTGGTTTCAATTTTCTTTGTGGCAGATGAAGTTCCCATAAACAAAGCAACATTTTACATCGATCTGTTTAACTGATATACGCGTTTAAAAATGCGCACTTCAATTATACACCCAAGGTGGGAAACAATGCAAAAAAAAATTCTCTCCTGTGGATAGAAGGGACCTTTGGCCTCCTCAACATCCTCAAGCCCAATCCCATCCTCCTTCTCTACTAAAGCTATCCCAGGGATGCAGATAAAGACCACACGGGGAAACCTGGTAGAGCAAAGGTATGCAGGTAATCCTTGACTTACAACGGTTCGTTTTCTGACCATCTGAAGTTACAAATGGCACTAAACTAAGTGACATGTGACTGTTTTCATACATAAGGCTGTTGTAGCATCAGCAGCCGAATCAGAGGAGGAGGAGGTGGTGTGGGGCAACCCGGAAGCTCCAAGCAGGAGGAAGAGGGAATGGAGCTGGCAGAGGGAGACAGAGACGGAGCCTGGGCCGTCCATCAGCCCTCAGAGGGAGAGTCAACAGCCCCCCAGGTCAGGAGGTGGCTGATGAGGAAGAGGAGGAACAGCTGAGTCCAGTGCCTGATGCATGGATTCACAGAAGGCAGAGGAGAGGAGAGCAGTGGAAATCTATGGGCCGGCCCTCAGGACGGAAGAGCCACCGCTGCTAGTAGGGAGGCCCAACCCAAGCTCTGGGGATAAAAGGCAGAGGGCGGAGATGAACAGGTGTGGTAGACAACTATTCACCTCTTATGCTGGATGGACTTGTTAGCCTGCGAGATAAATGTTTTGCCGGGGTTGCCGGCATTCCTAATAAAGGAATATTTTGAGTTCACGTCAAGTGAGTTTGCCGTATTTGGAGAGCTGGGTCAGAACACACCCTCATGCGATAAAAAAATCCAGACACTCAGCAACTGACTCATGTTTATGACATGTGCAGCATCCCAAAGGTCATATGATTCTATTTGGAGACCTTCTGACAAGCAAAGTCAATGGGAAAGCCAGGTTCACTTAGCAACGGGGTTACCGACGTAGTAACCGCAGCGATTCTCTTCACAGCTTGTGGCAAGAAAGGTCATAAAATGAGTCAAGGTTCCCTTAACAGTTGCCTCGTTCAACAACAGAAACCCGGGGCTCAATTGTGGTTTGTAAGTCGAGGACTACCTATGCAAAGGCCGGACAGTAAACAAAATGGACGAAAAACGCTGCAGGATGGAATGATTTTTTTTCTTTCCTTTTCAGTGCAATGAGGGATCAGGTAAGAGGCCGTGAGATTCGGGGTCAGAGGGGACCAGCTAAGAACAATCAACAGCTGATTGAGAACAACTTTAGCTTAGAACAGGGGTCTCCAACCTTGGCAACTTTAAGCCTGGCGGACTTCAACTCCCAGAATTCCCCAGCCAGCAAAGCTGGCTGGGGAATTCTGGGAGTTGAAGTCCGCCA